AAATCAGACAGTTCCTTCAATGAAATGACAATGACAATACAACATATCAGAATCTATGGGACACAATGAAAGCAGTCTTATGAGGGAAATTCATATCATATGAATACTCATATGAGGAAAACAGAGCAAGCCCAATTAAACAACCTGATGCCGAACCTCAATCTTCTAGAAATAGAAGAGCAAGACAAACCCAAAGCTCATACAAGGGAGGAAATTATAATCAGAGAAGAAATCAATGCAATGCAGACTAAGAGAACAATACAAAAAAATCAATGAAGCCAAGAGTTGGTTCTTTGAAAGAATAAACAAAATTGAAAAACCCTTAGTCAAATCAGAAAAAGGAAAGAAAGGGCCCAAATCCATGCAATTAGGAATGAAAAGGGTGAAATTACAATGAAATCCAGAGGATCATCAATACCTATGTTGAGAACTTATATGCCAATAGATGGAAAACAAAGAAGAAATGGACAGATTCCTATATATGTACGAATTACCAAAGTTGAACAAAGAAGACCTAAAAATTCTAAACAACACAATATCAATCAATAAAATTGAAAATGTAATTAAAATTTACCAACTAAGAAAAGCCCGGGTCCTGATGGCTTCACTGCTGAATTCTACAAGACATTTAGAGAGAAACTACTGCCACTACTCTTTAAACTCTTCAATGAAATTGAGGGGGAAGCAATACTACCTCATTCATTCCTGGAACCAAGCATCACCTTGATCCCCAAAGCAGAGAAAGACCCAACCAAAAAAGGGAACTATAGGCCAATCTCACTAATGAACAGAGATGTAAAAATTCTTAATAAGATACTGGCAAATAGAATGCAGAAGATCATCAAGAAGTTCATACACCATGACCAAGTGGTATTCATCCCAGGGATGCAGGGATGGTTCAAAGTACACAAATCAATAAATGTAATACACTATATCAATAGAGCCAAGGACAAAAGTATATGATCATCTCAATAGATGCAGAAAAAGCATTTGACAAAATCCAACATGCATTTTTGAAAAAAACACTACAAAAAATTGGAATAGATGGTCTCCATCTGATAAATCTGATAAAAGCCATCTATCAAAAAACAACAGACAATATCATACTAAATGGTTAAAAACTGAAATCCTTCACACTAAAACCAGGAACAAAACAAGGATGTCCACTATCACCAGTCCTGTTCAATATAATTTTCGAAACATTAGCCACACCAATTAGATAAGAGAAAGAAATAAAGGGAATAAAGATAGGAAATGAAGAAGTCAAATTGTCATTACTTGCAAGTGACATGATACTCTATACAGAAAACCCTAAGAACTCCACCAAAAGTCTTCTAGACTTCATAACCAAATTCAATAAAGCAGCTAAATACAAGGTCAACACACAAAAATAAATAGCTTTCCTCTACACGAACAACAGACTCACTGAGAGAGAAATACGGCAAATAATTCCATTCACAATAGCATCCAAAAAAATTGAAATACTCAGGAATCAATCTAACAAAAGAAATCAAACACCTCTTCTCTGAAAACTATAGCACTCTTGAAAAGAGAGATTGAAGATGATATCAGAAAATGGAAAGGCATCCCTTGCTCCTAGGTAGGAAGAATCAACATAGTGAAAATGGCTATACTTCCAAAACTGCTATATAGATTCGATGCAATCCCAATTGAAATCCCAGCACCATACTTCATGGGCCTTGAGAAAACAATCCAAAAGTTCATTTGGAACAAGCAAAGACCTGGAATAGCAAAAGCAATTCTAGGCAACAGAGACATGGCAGGGGGTATCACAACCCCCAACTTGAAACTATACTACAAAGCTACTGTGATAAAAACAGCATGATACTGGCAAAGAAAGAGACCAGTGGAACAGATTAGAAGATGTAGAAGCAACTCCAGACACACTCAGCCACCTCATTTTTGACAAAGGAGCCAAACACCCTCACTGGAGGAAGGATAGCCTCTTTAATAAATGGTGCTGGAAAAATTGGGTTTTAACTTGCCAAAGATTAAAACTAGACCTATATCTCTTACCATGCACTAAACTAAAATCAAAATGGATTAAAGATCTAAATATTAAAAAGATACGCTGAACTGGCTGGAACAGATGTTAAGTAGAACTCTTGAAGACATTGGTGTAGGAAAAGATTTTATGAACAAAACCTCAGTTGCCCATAACCTAGCACAAACAATCAACAAGTGGGATCTCTTCTTATTAAAAAGCTTCTGCACAGCAAAAGAAACCACCAACAGTGTGAAGAGAAAACCCACAATGTGGGAAATAATTTTCACCTGCTGTTCCTCAGACAAATGATAGTAGAATCTTAAAGATTCTACTATATAGAATCTATAAAGAATTTTACAAAATGAGACCTCTCAAATTTAAAGACCTAGTCCAAAAATTCGCATCTGAAATGAACAGACATTTGTCAGACAAAGAAGTAGAAATAACAAATAAGCATACGAAAAAATATTCAACATCACTGGTCATTTGAGAGATGCAAATGAAAACAATGCTGAGATTCTACTTCACCCCAGAAAGAATGGCTGCTATCATGAAATCAACCAATAACAAATGCTGGGGGAGCTGTGGGGAAAGAAGAACCCTGCTCCACTGCTGGTGGGAGTGTAGACTGGTGCAACCTGCTGGTTATCTTCCCCAAAGAATTAAAAGAATCATACCACAGTGATATATGCACACCCATGTTCATAGCAGCACATTTTGTAATAGCTAAAATGTGGAAGCAGCCCAATTGCCCAACAACTGGAGACCGGATAAAGAAAATGTGGGTTTTAAAAAATAAAATAAAATGGAGTACTACTCAGGCATAAAAAATGAGAAATGAGAGACTTCTAAAGCTAAATTGATGCACATTGAGTCAATATCTTAAGTGAAATAAATAGGACACACATGTGTAAATACCGAATAGTTTCCTTAGTGTGAGAAACTAAAAGTGCGAATAAGGGCTAAAAGATATAATGGATAATGTGAAATAGGAAGAAAAGGTGCAAAAGGGAGGGAGAAGTGGAAGGGGTAGAGAAAAGAATGAAGGGAATGGAATTAATATGAGAAAAAGAAAAAATGGAAACAAAGTCTTTGTAGATAGGGAGGGATGGAGGGGTTGAAGGGAGGGCAGGTTAAGGGGGAAAAATAAGAACCAAGAGAGATTATGTAAAGGTGCAAATTTCCAACGATGCATGTCATTATATTGTATACCTAAAATGTACCAATAAAATTAATTTTTAAAAAACCTGAGTTTCTGTTTGAATGACATTATGCAAAATGAGATGTCCTTTTCAACCTACTGAAATGTGTTTCTTTCATATACATTCTATACTAGAGAGTATTCCAAGTTAGTATACACACACACACACACACACACACACATGCACAACTGTGCAGTCTTTGATTTCATGATGTCTTCCACAGACCTGAGGCAGTGCGGAGTGCCACAATTCTGGTGGGGCAACATTTACTCCCTTTGTGGTATTGCTGCCATTTTAGATCTTAGGACTCTGGCCAGGCTGGGCTCAGAGATACAATATAACCTATAAGTTTAGAGACAATAAGCCTTTCCTCAACTACCAAAGCAACCCATTTCAAATTTAAATATTTTGAAAAATAACCCAAACCCATAATCAAAACATAACAATAGATCTTCAAAAGCACAAAATAAATATTTCTCCACATTGAATACAATTTTGGCTATCACTGACTATAAATACAGCATGTTCACATGCATTACTGTACAATGACTCACTGTATAGATTAGAAACTTAGCCTCAGAAAAGTTGACTGAAAGGACTCATACCAGCTCTAGGCCTGGGAGCCTCTCTTCATCATATCACAATAGAAAGTAAACTCATTTTGACACTGAAGATGAACTTACATTACATAGTTGGGACAGTCACTGCGTTCTGTTATATTGAGTCCAGGACAGAAGTCTTGCCCCAAAAATTCATTATGCTGCAAAGCCTATAACACAGGTGAGAGTAGCAAGTTAATTAGCTTTAAATTTTAAAACATTACCAAGAAATTATCACAATTATGTCTTGTAGTTTAATCTTTATTGTTATTTCTAAAACACACCAAGTTTCACATTCATAGTTTTTGACACACCAAAGCAGCTAGTTATTTTTCCTTCAATCTAGAGAACTGGCTTTGATATGTTGCTCCTAATTGGCCAAAAAGGGATCCCTGGCTCCCTGTATAGACTGCTCTATAGATCCTTTCTTCTTTTTTCACAAATTTTGTAACCCCATAAACGTTATAGTTAAAAATTATACAATGCTGCTCAATGAATATTGCTGACTTATGGTAATTATCTTTTCTTAGTTATTTTTATCAAAACCAATTTTATTATGGGAGACAGAAATTTGGTTATACTGTATAAAAGCAGTTTTCTTTGGAGTAGATCAGTTTGATAAAGCCAATATTGCCATGACATTGTCTTTGCTTGTCTTCTAGCACAAGGTCCTGAGTCCAATCCCTGGTACCAAAAAAAAAGTTTAACCTGTTTCTGTTCTAATATCCATTTCAATATAAACTACACATTCTAGTTTCTCATCCTGTCATTTATTTCCTTATTAAACATCAATACATTCTCCATCAGTTAGTTGGTCTTTCCCTTTCATTATGAGATTTCTCTGCACCTTTTAACGTTCCTCAGACAATGGGATGATTGGGAAATCAAAATGGCTGCCTGACTTCATGCTAACCAAGGCCAATAGGCACCTATTGCTCCTGAAAGGAAACAATTACAACCCATGGCCAGGTAAATGAGATAGTCAGGGTTCAATTTGGTTGTTCCCAGCTTGGGAAGCCAATCACAAGACAGACAAGGGTACTCACCATAAAACCATAATGAGGAATACTTAAGTACCGAAACCATGAAAATACAGGTGCAATGGTTTCAAAATACAGCGACATACTCAAAAATATCTAGGAAAAGGAAAAACCATGAATCATAAGCAATCTAGTGATTTCAAGAGAAATTCTAAAGAAGATTCTGTTCATGAACCCTACAACCTTCTAACCATTTCTGAGAACCAACTCAGCCTTGAAATTCTTTTCACTTACTCTAAACACTAGTCTTCCTCCTTTGCACGTGAATACCTCTGCATAGCTAAGACTGCTAAAGGTGTTATAAAAAGAACAATATCCTATAATCTATATTAATCTTTTGTTTATTTTTAAGTGTATATTTGCAATACATGATAGTTTTGTTCCTTCTGGGGAATCACTACATGCATAGGACACATCTTCATCATTTTTGATCACTTTACTGCCTCCTTATTTTCCACTCTCTTTCATTTAACTCATTGATTGATTGATTGATTGATGTTTTTTATTTCTCATATAAGAGAAACCATATGATATTTAACTTTTTGTCTGATTTATTTCACTTAAAATCATGGTCTCAAGTTCTATCCACTTTCTTGTAAATGACATGACTTCATTTTTCTTTAGGGCCAAATAACATTTCACTGTGTACATATATCAAATTGCCTTTGTCCATTTGTCTGTTGTTGGGCATCTAGGCTGTTTCCAAAGCTTAGTTATTGTGAATTGGGCTGCTATAAACATGGATATGGATATATCACTGTACTAATGATGTCTTTAATTTGGAGGGGTATACTCATGTGATTAATAGTTGGTCATGTATTTGGAGGGTCTTGAATTACCAGGACTAGGTCCCCAACTTTCTCTGTCACTGCACACAATGAAAGATTAAGAAGTACAGTTATTCCTCTGTATCCAAAGTGGATTGGTTCCAGAACCCTCAAACACAGATAAAATCTGCAGATGATCAAGTCCTTATTTAAAATTGTGTCATATTTACATGAAAATATACTTTAAATTATCTCCATATCTATTGTGATACCTAATACAAAGTAAATGTTTTGTAACTAATTTATACTGTATAGTTCAGGGAATGATGAAAAGAAATGAAAAACTTGTTTGTGAAGTATAGACACAATATTTTCAATTAATGGTTGGTGGAATCTTTGGATACAGAATCCATGGAATTGAAGGGTCAACTATACTGACTATTCTAAGGATACCACAACTATCTTTTCCCCTATTAAACCTGGTCATCTAGAAACAGATCAAAACAATGCCAAATACAGAATACCCCTCTCTAATCCATTCAACACTAAGATCTGTCATTTACAAAGGTTTTTCTGTAAATCCACAACTTTATAATAATGTGGGATTCAAAATGCAAGCTTAGGTTTATCCAAAGTCTAGAACTGACAAATAGCATACTGTGTCAATATACAGAAGAAAACTTACCCCATATCACCATTGAAACCTACCAAAAAGCAGTAGCACAGTGGAGATGCAAGGAAGGACTTCACAAAATGAATAAGAGATAACTATGAGGTTCACAAAAATTGTCCTAACTGGGATAAGACTTAGTGGAATATGCAAAACAGTCACAATATTACTAATGTTTCTGCATATATTTGGACTTGAGCTAACCAAGTGTTTAGTGCATAATACAGCATCTCTGAGTAAAATTTGGTTTTATTTAGCTCTAGAATTTCCCCCAAATTTTCATGTGTTCAGAGGTAGGGCTTTTGAAAAGTGATTAGAGCATGGGAGGTGCTACACTGATCAGTAGATCAATCCACTGATTAGTAGATTCTTAGCTGAGTGTGTTTTTAGGAGGTGGGGCCTGGTCAGAAGGGGTAAATCATTTAGGGGTGTGACCTAGCAGGGTATATCTCCCTCCCTGGGTCCTCCCTTCATGTTCTGCTTCCTGGTGAAGGAAAATAACGAGGCAACTGGTTCCATTTATCCATTGATTTATCTGAGTACAAAGTTTAGGAACATATACAATTGTAAATAAGCAACCAGTATAAAAGAGAGAGATAAGGCAGAAGTGGTGTAAGCCTGTGGATCCCAGCTACTCAGAAGAATGAAGCAGGAAACTGAAAGTTTGAGGCCAGCATAGGCAAATTACCAAGACCTTGTCTAAAAATAAAATGGAAAGGGTTAGGGGTGTAGCTCAGTGGGAGAGCAATTGCCTGGCATGTGAAAGGCCTTGGGTTCAATCTCCAGTATTAAGAAAATGAAAAAAAATAGGCAAAATTACATTCACATCAGAGGTTCTTAGGAATTCAGAAAGGTCGTGACATACATAGTACTACAGACTTTAGCATTTTCCAATATTTTTAAAACACTCCTTTTCAAAACAGAAGAGACCCCAAGACAGACTCCTCATGTTACACTTCTAATGTAGCTTCACTTTCACCCTAGAGAGTAGTGACTCCAGCTGTGCTAACTCTGCTATAGTTAAAAGGCCAGCAGATCTCTAACACCGGCAAGAAAGGAAGGCAGATAAATGGGCATTTTTATGAAACAATTGATAAATCATAATTCTTCTGGTTTTAGAACTTCCAATATTTAAGATTTCACAAAATATTGCTAGAGTTTTTTAAAGGCAAATTACTAAGCACATGTTAACTAAGTTACAGTAACTACATTAGAACAGCACCAAAAAAAGGCTGGACAAGGGCAAGGAAGAAAGCTGATATTCTCTAATATAAACTATATTTCAGTCTATGGTCTTCTGAAAGCATAAGAGTCCCGTGTACAGAATATTACAATTAGGTTTTACCAGACAGGTGATTATACAGGAAGGAACAAGGGGAGGATTTCCCTCTCACAGAAGCACAGTTCATACTCACCATCATAAACACAAAATAGAGGTTCATGACAAATGTTGTCATATAGTCCCAACTGGGACCTATTGTGATGGCCAATGCCATGGAACTGGCCGTGTAAGTCACCAGCAAAACAGTAAGCATCATGGTGAAGAAAGCCTTTGCCCCTTGTTTCAATCCTTACAGAGAGAAGAAATAGTCAGTCCAGCTGCCTATGTCACTGTGCTTTGGGGATAATTTATTGGACAAATAATACTATCATCTAAGAAACTAACATCAGAATGAAAAGAGTAACCCACTGTCAAAATACCTGGGTCACCAATTTCATTATCTTTCCATATAACTGCATCAAGTTATGCTGCTTTTCTTTTCACGCTCACTGAAAATAACACTTTTCCATACAGCACCTGTGCTCACTTGTGTGGGCTTAAGAACAATTTCTGAGTTTCTGAGATGGAGAGCTCCAGGCAACACAATAGGCTGGAATTCTCCAGCCTTTGCCTGTCACAGAAAACTCAGCAATAGCCATTCTCTTACCCAGACATCTCCACAGTACTCAGTGTTTACTGCGACTGCACTAGTGAGGAGAATTGGCTCAGGGTTCCATGACCTCATAGTTGTTTTAACATCTGAGACAGAGGAGGGGCCTCTGTAAACTAAATCCCCCTGGATTTACTTTACCACATTACTCTGTGATGGAGCATAGGGCTGAGCTAAGTTTCACACACTATTTAATAAAGTATAATGAGCTAATGTTATCCATCATACAGGCTGAAGATTTGGAAACAGCTGCAAGCAAACAAACAGGAGACTTGGGACCTAATTCTACACCTAATTCTTTTGATACACATCTTATTTATAAAATGGAATATTTAAGCTCTGTAAGGGGTTTTTATCCTGTCATGTGTTGTCAAACAGATATTTCTGGGAGGGGTGTGTATGTGTGTGTAAATACCCACCTGTTTGTGTGTGCACATACATGTGTGTTTGTGTGTGTACATACATGCATAGATGTATCATTGAAATACACTATAAGGACATTTTGATGAAATGAGCATGGGATTAAGGCTGAACATAATGCAAAAATGCAACTGTCTATAACCATCAAACAAGTATTTTTATTAAATTGCTAAAACATGGGAGGCAGAAAGAATAATATGTATTTTGCTTTTTGACCTCTCTCTATATATCTCTTTAGATATTAAAGATATTATCTATCTATACTTTATCTCTATACAGAGATATACAGAGGGATAGAAAAACTGGAGATACATAAATATTTCAGCTCTTCCAGCAAAATCTCAAACTGTTTTATAAATTATTTCCACTTTTGTGTATGACACACAATAAATATGTCTTACTAAAATATAGTTTTATAGTTTAAAAAGCTCAGGTGGGAAAAATACCCATATAGCACAGTTATTTTAGAGAATGCATAGAGGTTGCACATTTCTTCTCTAGCTCATGGCTTTGTTTGCAGTTTTCAGAATCATAAACATGCTTGCAAGGGAAAATTAATTTCACCTAATATATAAGTCTAAAGACAACCTTCTTGTCTTATTACTTACCAAACATAAAATATAGCACCATAGTAAATATGATACTTGGCAAAATTCTCCTAGGGATTAAGTCAGATAATAGTTTTCCAAGGTAATAAGGTAACAGTCCATAGTATCCACTCATATGCTCATGTCTATAGAAGAAAAACAAACATAACACATCCTAGATTAATTTCAGAAGGCACAGTCCAGAAGAGCTGCTCACTGTATGGAATTCTGCTGCCACCAGGGCCTAAAAGGACAAGTTCCCACACCCTCTAGGCTGTCCACTCTCTCACTCTTCACACTTCTCCACCCATGTCAGCTGCAGGAAGCCCTCACTGTGCCCCTCTCATTATGGAACCCCCTCCTGCAACTGTCCACACTGGCCCCAGAATCCTGCCCCACGTGCACAATGTCTGCATTTCCTCACTCTCCTCAGAGACTCTGCTTCTTTTCTAATGCTGGTTCTCTCTGAAGAACAGCAGTAGGGCAGGCTTTTCTTCTCCTCACTTCTGATTATAAAGAAGTTGTTTTCCAAGGCCAACAGTGCAGCTTCAGATCACCAATCTCTCTTTACTTCTTCTATTCTTATGCAGAAAAGACCTTCTTTTGATTATTATGTCTCCAACTAAGCAGCCATGTCAGCCACCAAATCCTCATTTTCCTCCTTTGGACCCTGTGCTCTCATAATTCCAAACTATCCCACCAGTGTCTTATTCCTTCCCCTCTCTGGTGATTCTTTTCTTTGACATGTAAATATGAGCAAATATATTCCATCTTTGAAAGACACAAGAGACAAAACCAGTCTGCCCCTCACTGGAGAGCTGCCCTCTGGGTCTTTCCACTCCTCCATCCAGTGAGAGCTGATCCTCGTCATATTGTCAACTTTACCCCTCTTCCTCCAATTTACTGTTCAACCCACCATGTAATCTCCATCAGGTCCCCAAAACTTTTCTTGCCAGAGTTACTATGACCAATTATTTGCTAAAAACAAAAGCTTCTTTTCAGCCCCCTTTTTGATGCATTCTCAGTTGCATTGGAATTTGCTGACTACACCCTGATCTTGAAACTCTTTTCCCTGGGTAGCAGACTCCACGTACTTTTGATGTTCCACTCCATTCATAACTCTTTCTCTCAATTAATATTATTACATATGTATTTTAAAAGCTCCTGTATGTAATAAGTGTATTTATAGTTTATGTTTGTCAGTTAAACAAATAAATAAAACTACTGGTAATCCTTAGGATGGCATCTTTGGCCCAATTCTCAATGGGACCAGTTTGCTCACCAGTGACCCCCACCTGTTGGAAGAGGGGTCTACTCACAGAAACAGCTTCTCCTCAAGCACAAAGATCCTCCCAGCTGACACACTGCTGAAACACTGAAAGACGGTCAGTGTGAAGAGTACTGAGGCTCTGCCAGGTCAAATCAGGAACAAAAACACCACAGTCAATTCAACACCCCAGGTTGGTTTTCTACCTGCAGAACTCTTTTCATGAGTAATATTACACTAAACAAAATATTTACATTTTTCTTTATGAAAACTAGAATTACCCTGGTTAAAAGAGAGAGGAGAGCAGGACCTCTTAAGGTCTCTATAGCTAAGCTGGACCCTTACTGAGTCCACATTATGGCACATTTTGACATCCATGGTCTTAGGTTGCTGTGAAATAAACTTTGTGTTCCTCTAAAATTTAAAGTTGAGACAATAATCCTGGGAAGGAAGTCCTTGGGAGCTAATGAGGTTTAGATGAGGTCATGAGAATAAAGCCCCCAAGATGAGATTAGTGCCCTTATGAGAGGAAGAAACACCAGGCTCTGTCATGAGAGGGCATAGAGGGGAGATGGACATCTGCAGCCAGGACAGGGCCTTCAGAGGAACCTGACCCTTCCTGGCCAGTACTCTGACCACATTTTCTTTGTCCCTTCATCACATGATAGACACTTAGCTTGATTCCTTTGTTTGGCTATTAGAAAAAGTGTTACAATGAACATGGAAATGCACCTAAACTGATTTCAAGTATTTTGGGTAAATACTCAGAAGTGAGATGACTGGATCCAATTATTTTAAATCCTTATTTCCTAATTTGTTTAGCTAACACCTCAAACCTCCTGATAAGAGCCAAAGGAGCTCATAGTCTAAAAGAATTCAAACATGGTTTCTCAGTTACACAGGTTAGAGAAACTGCAAAGAGAATGCTGGATCCTCAAAGAAAAGAACTAAATCACTGGCTTCCTGAGCAATTTAAAATGCTGAAGTACTGATATTCACCCCTGAAGACTAATGTCAAGAATATATAAAAATTTAGACTCCCCAAAATAAAAGGCCCAATCAAAAAATGAACAACCAAAATGATTAGCCACTTCACAGAAGAAGTACAAATGCCCAATAAATATATGAGAAAATACTCACCATCGCTGGCTATTAGAGAAATAAATCAAAATTAAAAAAAAAAACTGAGATGCCATCTTATCCCAGAAAGAATGGCTATCATCAAAAAGTCTAATAATAATAAATGCTGGTGAGGATATGTGGGAAAAGGAACTCTTCCACGATGTTGGTGAGAATGTAAACTAGTTTGACCACTCTGGTCAAAATTCTGTAGAGAGCTCTCAAAACACTAAAAATAGAAATTTCATTTGACCTGGCTATCTCCCTTCTAAGTATCTTCTCAAGAGAGTTAAAATAAATCAGACACACAAGTTCAAATATCATAGTTTCTCTTACATGAGAAGTAGAAAATATATACATATAAATAGACACATAAACAGCAAAGTAAAAAAGAGATAATAGGAAGTAATGAGAAGTTCAAATACTTCTTCAAATTCCGTATTTCATTGTTTTAAAATAATTTAATATATATGCTAATTTGTTTCATTTACACTCATAGTTTATCTTAGATTACTGAAAAGTTTTGTGTTACTATTTGTTTCTTTTTTGTAAGAATCTTTTTGGTTCATATCTTATACTCTAACTACTTAGAAGATAATATACACAGTGTTTCAACTGTTGTTATTCTCTTATTATTTTGTTATGAAATTTTGTTTTATCTTTTCATAAAATAAAGTTAATGTCTAATTTCTCCACAAAACATCTGAAGAAAAAGCTAAAACTCTTCTGTATTCTCTGGGTTTTTCTATTAAGACCTTATATGTCTTGATTTCCATTTTGTCTTTAAAATCCCAGTTGATGATAGGTTTCTCAAATTTGTTTTGAATGCTTACTGCTACCATAATACATCTGTGGTGCAGGCCATGCTGGGTGAAAAAAGGGCATTTACACAGGACACAAACCAAGTGCTAGCAGATTTGGCAACAATCCAGAGATCTCGGCTTTCAGAGAAAGGTAAAAAGATGGCAAAACTCTGGAAAATCATTCCAATGATCATGTCAATATAATATGATAGTAATATCCTAATTCAATACAGGAAAAATTTTATTTTAGGTGAGTGAAGAATTGGCTTTTACGCTTATTTTTTATCAAAAAATAATCAGCCTTTTCCAGACATCAAAATAGATTCAACATAAACTTCTACAACTTTCCCTAGTCATAAAAATACAACATCTACTCCTCTGACTGTTGAGACATCAATCACAGAACCCAGAACCTGACAAAGAGCAGTTCTCTGTACATGAATTAGAGAGTTGGAGGTGCATGATGTTTGTGAGTATCTATGTTCAGAGCATAGCACAGCCATCTAAAAGTCTCAAATGAAACAAGGATTGTAAAGTCACATTACAATTGAAATGAATTAAGAATCACAAAACAGTCTTAAGTACTGTCCATTAAACTGGTACCTATGTTACCCTCACATCAAACAAATAAAAAGACTTCAGGGAAACTGCCTCATACACAACAAAATAAAAAAATAGAAAACTTAGCTTCATCAAAATTAAAAACACTTATTCATAGAAGGCACTATCATCAAAGTGATAAAAAGTTCACAAAATGGGAGAAAATATCTGCAAATCTTGTATCGGCCAAGGTACACAGAAATATACAGAATACATAGAAATATAAAGCATTCCAACTCAACAATAACCAAAAAAAAAAATCCAGGTTTTAAATAGGCAAAAGATCTATACAGAAATTTCACTAAAGACCCAATGAATCTCTATTATTAAAAAAAGTTAAGTATTGGGTGAGTATGTGGAGAAACTGGGATTCTTGTATTCTGCTGTTAAGAATGTAAAATGGTGCCGCTGCTGTGGAAGACAGTGTGGCAGTTCCTTAAAAAATTGACATAATTTCCATATGGTCCAACAATTCTACCAAAGAACTGAAAGCAAGAGTTCAAACAAACATTTGTACACTCATCGCACTATTATTCACAACAGCCAAAATGTGGAAGGAACACAAATTTTTATAATCAGATGAACAGATAAACAAAATGTAGTACATATATACAATAGAATATTTATTCAGGCTTAAAAAACTAAGACATTCTGACACATGCTACAACTTGGATGACTCTTGAGGACATTATGCTATAGGAATTAAGCTAGGCACAAAAAAACCCCCACTATATTATATAATTCATTGTTTATCATGTTTCTAAAGTAATCAAATCCAGAGACAGAAAGAGGAATGGCATTAGCCAGGTATTGGGACAGGTGGGTATGAGGTGTTACTGTTTAATGTATATGAAGAGTCTAAAGTAAAGTTCTGGAGTTGCTGACAGTTATATAATGTGAATATATTTGATGCCACTGAGCCCTACACTTAAAAATAGTTAAAAGCATAAAATTTGTGTTGTATATACTGTACCACTACATATTTACACACATGTGTAAAAAAATTAACTTCCGTTCAGTTTTCAATGCACTAACTTATCCTAACCTCTCGTTAAAATAATGACATCTACCCTGTATTTGACCTAAATTCAAATTCCCAATGGATGTTCATAATCTTGAACAAAGAATCAGAATTTTCCCCAGTGAAGATAAAAATTTACTTACCTATTCTGGATTCCAGTACAATTATTATTTAGCCCAAGAAAAATAAAGCTTGTCATCACTCCTATTGCAAATATTGCTAATATCTTTTAAAAATGAAAATGAAAAACCAGAGTCAGTCAAAGGTAAAAGTTTTTGCACAGTATTTATAACATATATGGCTACATGTCAAATATTGCCATTGAAATAAACACTTTAAATGACTCTACCAGAGTCCCTGGGAGAATTTTTTTTTAAATGAGCGTCATAAGACTGCTTTCTAAATTAAGATGAAAATTATTGGTTGTTTGAACATCTGAAAGGACAACAGTGCCGAGTACTGGAAAATCTAAGGTTCTTCCCATTTTCCCACCAGGTAGGTATTGCTGGCTCCAGGCCCAGTTCAGGCACTGGGCCCACAAATGCCACATTTCCCTGGAGAAGTCATTTTAGGAATAAAATAAAGTCCAATATGGCTAAGAGTTTTGATTTGAGGTAGATTCATAACTTTTATGACAGTCAACATGCAGTCTTATGCTTCAAAAAATTCACAAACAAGATGTCATTATGCTTATCTTTAGAAATAAATATCATTTCAGGGCTGGGAATGTAGCTTAGAGATATAATACCTGCTTGTCATGTGCAAGACCCTAGGATCAATGCCCAGCACTGCAAAATGAATAGATAATAAAATTTTTGAAGCATGCATAAAATTTCTAACAAGAAAATTTTGCATAAGAAGTAGGAGGTGGGCCCCACCTATTCAACCTATGGGGAATCCCTACCTACATAAGAAAGTGTCATCAAAGCACTCAACCAGCTTTGTCTGGGGCATCCGAGTACTTCCGTTACTCTGCTCCTCTGTCACTGCTTTTCATTCGACCTCAGCCAGAAAGGCCTCCAGTCCTGTGGCCAGTGGAGCTGCTGATGTTTTGCATCCTCACCTGTCTTAAGCTACTCAATCTGTGTGGAGGGCTCCCAAGAGCCTGAACAAACATCACGTTTGTTTTGTTTTGTTTTTGGTACTGGGGATCGAACTCGGGACCTTGTGCTTGCAAGGCAGGCGCCGGAACCACTGAGCTAAATCCCCGGCCCACAAACATCACTTTTGATTTTCAAGTAAAAAATGTCTTAAGGATTCTTCAATTATGAGGGGTTACATTATGATATAATTTTTGAGGAAATCTAAAATTATTCATAGGCTGAATATAGAAGTACAGAAAATAGTAATTTAAAGAAAAAATATTTTAACATGTATCTTGGAAACATCAAAATTAAAAACACTCTCAATATTATTATAATATTATAATATAAAGACATGAAGTAATTTGTGAAAGGTATAATTTGAACAAAACAAGCCAAAGTAGAAATAGAATGAAGATCTATAAAGACTAATTTGTGAAAATCTTAAACTTCAAAGGACATTATTGAAATATTTCACTTACAAGATGTCCTTAAATCCCTTTACTAATAAGACAGGAATTTAGAGGAAAAAAACTTCTTTACCATGGTATATTTTCACTATCCTCAAAATATACTCTACTTCAGCAGATCTAAAATAAATGCCAATGACTGTCAACAGCTAGCATGCACAGGTATACAAGAGTCTATAGTTTCACAGAGTCTAAGTTTTAAGAATATTCAGTCTTTTTAAGTAGACATTCTGCATTCTTTGTGGTATTTTATACTAACAAAGTCAGTTGTATTATTTTGATGTTCACTACAGGTTTCAAAGTTCTATACCAATTTCTAGTTGGTTTTCCAACATTGAAAAATGATGAATCCCATAATGGCATTCTGCTTTCACAAGGTGCATCTGTGTTAGTCTTTCTTGGATAAGGAATAGGAAAACCACTAAGCAAAATAAATACTGAAAAATAAAGTAAAGGACACCATCTATATTAGGGAATCTGGCCTCCAGCACGTTTTCAACACAAGGATCACTCTAAGATATGTTCTGAGTTATTTTTCTAGCTTTCACTAAAAATATGAATCCTAAAAATACAGTGGCTCCAGGCTATAATCCCAGCACTTGGAAGATGAGGAGGCAGGAGAAATGAGTTTGAGACCAACCTGGACTACACAGTGTGACATTTTCTCAACTAAAAAGAAAAAGAACCCACTGTAGGCTTGTAACATGTTAATAGAAAGAGTGACACTGAGAGATTAATGCTAGAGTTTTCCAAATGATCAGGAACAACACTAAATGAACACTAAATCTTCCTACACATATAATCCATTCATTCCAAGAGCTTCCTGATACAACCTCTGAGTACAGGCCAAGTCTGAGTCATGTAAATAACTAGTTCAAACCATAAGTCAATAGATACAATATTTATAGCCAGGAAATCATAAAATATTCAATAATTCTAAATTCAAAACTTAGATTTAAAAATATATACAGGATTAAAACCCCTGATGTGTTTGCAAGTCAGTAACCTGCTGCCCATGGTCCAATGAGGGACAGTAAAATATTTTTATTCTGTCCAGAAGTTAAAATGGCTTTTATACTTTTTAACATTGGGACAAAAATGTACGGAATTAATATTTCTTGCAATATGAAATGGATTTGAAATTCAAATGTCACTGTCAATCAATAAAGTTTTATTGAAATAAAGACAGGTTTCTATGTATATATATTAGCTATGGCTGCTTTCACACTAAAATAGAAGGATTGACTACCTGAGATGAATTCCACATATGGCCTGCAAAGCCTAAAATATTTACTATCTAATCTATTATAAAAAAGGGGTTGCCTACTTGTAGCTAACCATTCAGTATTTACAAATCTGAGCAAGAGTTGTCCTGCTAAGCTCAGGGAAATACAAGATCTTATCCTTAGTTTACAGACTTCTGTTTCTCTGAACTTTGCTGTGTTGCTTTTGTGGAACTGAGCCACTGGTAAAGCAAGGAGGCTGGGCCTGGTGTTTGCATCAAAAGGAAGCCTAGGACCAAATCACTCATGGTACAGGAGTATTGAAGCAGGTGTGTTTTAATCATGTCCTGCTCAGAATTACCACTATGTGTCTTGGATAAGACACTTATGAAACATTTCTCCAGGCAAATAAGAAAAACTTGATGTATAAATTACAAGAAAGAATCATCATCAACTCATTACATCATCTCAATGTTCAACAATGGGTAACCCAGCTTGATGGATTTAATTCTTATGACTTGTTTCCAAATGGTATCAAATCTCTTCCAAAAAATAAAATTTTGCCCTTGATTGACAGGCCACAAAAATGTCCACATTCTCACAGACGTTTCTACTCATAATAACCACAAACATTTGGAGTAACTGACAATATGAATTAGAGATGCAGACTCTCCGATACACTTGGAAGGTGACAAACGTAAATAAAAAAATTATGGTGCATGTGTAAAAAAGTCCATAGTATTTCATTAGAGCTAACATGCTATTAGAACTCAATAGAAACTATATGATTGATAATAAAAATAATAACTCCAAAACAATCTAAATTGATTTCTTTATAGATGATGGAGAAATGAGTTGGAAGAACTAGTGATTTGTGACATAGGTATGACAATTACTCATGACAGTCAACTTGATTGCATTTAGGACTGCCAAAGAAATTAGTAGTTCATCAGTGGGCTAATCCATTCATGAGATCATAATTTGATGGTATTATTGGAAGGTAACAGAAAGAAGACATTGGGCCTGGTTGGAGGGCACGATCTTGGCTGCTATATATAGTCCCTGGCTCTTTCTTCAAGGTTCTTTCCTTTTCTCTTTGTTTTCAGGCTGCCATGCTTTAATCTACCATATCCTTCTGCCTCACCTCAGGCCCACAGCAACAGAACCAGCTGATCATCGACTAAAACCTCTATAAATCTGATCCAAACACACCTTTCCTCCTTTACATTGTTTATGTCAGGTATTTACTCACAATGACAAGAAGCAGACCAGTATCACAGGGGTTAAGAATACCCCCTCCCCCACAAATATATATATATATGTAATTAATAAACACCTGCCACAAAGCCATTCAAAAGCAGAAAGGGACACTATCTCATCTCAGTCAAGTGAGTTACCCTGACAGCGAACAGACTTGTTAAGTCTTGTTACCACCTGTGTACAAACTGTATACTCATCCAGTTATCTATTGATTTCCAAAGATGAGACCCTCAAAATAAGGAAGTCAATTATGCGGCACATCATTTGGCATCCATCTCTTCTCCCAGTGAACAGCCTAAGCTACCCTCAGGTGTCCTCAGTGATAGGGGTTCCCTCACCTCGTGGTTTAAAATGCAAATGAACCCTTTCTCCTGATGTCATTCTCTCTACCTCTCCCTTCTCTTCCCCACCTCTGCTCCACTCAAACGTGCTGCAGTCCTGTTTGCCATCCAACATGCAATATGTTTTATTTTTTATTCAGCTATCATCTTTCTGCCCTCATAAGAAAATAAGTTCTATGAAAGCAGGATTCATTTTGTTCACTATTGTATTAGAATCTCAAAATGCAACTCATGCTCTTATATTGAAGTTGTGGAAGGAATCCACAAATGAAACTGCACAGCTTCTAGAATACTCCAAATATGACTGATGCTGCCTTTACATTTTGGGGGAATTGTTGTTTATTCTGATAATCCATTACATCTTATCTAAATCAATAAAAATTATGAACTGGATAGTACAAGAAACCACTAACAAAAGCTTTCCCTATGTAAAAACTTAATTGTGTTTTCTCATTCTAATGACTGTTTCTAGATCCCAAATGGAATAGAGATGACAAATAAATGGAAAAGTGGGTAGGAGATAAACATAAGCCTGAAATAGACTACATCAGAAGCTAATTGCTGTGTTAGGTGTAGTGGTGCATGCCTGTAATCCCAGTACTTTTGAGGGTGAGGCAGGAGGATCGCCACAAGTTCAAGGCCAGCTTGGGCTACTCAGTGGGTTCAAGGCCAGCCTGAATTACAGAGCAAGACCTTGTCTCAAAAAAAAAGAACTAAATTGTTCCCATATGAATATTTCACATCACTATGAAAAGAATATGTTGGGTTACCTGAATTATAGTGATTCGGGGATAACCCAGCAAGTTTTTAAATGAACGAATCATAATCCATCTGAGCTGATGACAGAAGGAGGTGGTATAGGTGGTCTTCTTGAAGACTAAGCTCCTCTTCTTCTGATCTCCTGAGAGTTTATCTAATTTATCTTTTATTTCTCTGTAGAAGGAGGAGTTGACATAGAGCTCAGCTAAGTATTCTACAACTGGCTTATCTCTCTTGTAAAACTCTTCAGTCTCTTTGGCTTTGGAATAAAAGCAGATAAATACAAGAAACATTAAAGACAGTAACAAATAACTGATTTAACTCATTTTTCTCTGAAATTTTCTTGGATAACACTTGAATGTGAAAGCTTGTGTACAAAAAAAAAAGAATCCCTAGCTTTGTCATTGCTTTACACATGAGAAAAAGACAGCTAATTGACCTAACTACTGCCATAATCTTATGGATATACCATAATCATTGACCTTTTTTCTAACAATTTGAACCCTAACTTTTAAAACAGACTTCTGACATGAAAATTTATAATTCTTAATATAAAAATCTGGTCCATACTTTCTGCTATGTGCAAATACAAAAAGTGCCAATTATCTTATTTTTAAAATACTATAAAAATAAGCATTTCTGTTTTTTTAAAGGAAACTCCCCTTAAAAATTGGCAATTCTATATAAATGCTCATTTACAAATTAAATCAAAATAACTACACTCCTCATAGACAACAATGAGTATCTGCTACTAGTATCAGAATACTGCATTAGCAGGAATTTACAAAATCATGTTTTAATGAGCCACTAAATTAATGAACTTTACCTAAATCAGTTAGGCAAAACTCTGTGAACCTAAAAGATCCACATACCTTCATAGTCTTCTTTTTCTCTATTTACTACAACAGAAGAGCCTCCACATATCACATCTAGAAAGAAATCTGCAGGGTTGTTGTAGGGTTCACAGTGATAATCTAAGAGAGAAGGCAACACAAGAACACAAACCTGATGGTCTTGAAACAGAGGTCTCAATGTCAGAGGGTAACGGAGGTAAAGCTAGGGAAGACAGAATCTAACAACGTCTTCCTCATCTTCTTGCTCTCTTTTCCCCTCAATAATTGATCATTTCCTTTTACACTGTCACTCACACGACACTTCAACAACTTTTTATGTCCCCCCAAAATACGTTATGAATCTTGAACTATTCTGAACATTTCTCAACTATCCTTAACTTTCATAAATTATGAAACCCAAAGAGCTATCAATATGCTCTGGTGCTTATCAGTACTATATGAAGCTTGGTTCTAGAAAGAAAATACCAAATCCCTGGGTGCATTATGCTCTCTGAGTTCCTCTGTGTTCTCTGAAAGTGAGAACAGCAGTACACATGTTAATAATGATTCCTTCTATACCCACTAAATCCTCTAAATTATCATCTTTCATGCTGCCATAATTTCAAATACAGAATGAATCCCCAGGGCAGAATTCTTGAGAGAACATGACCAGCAGAGTATACCTAAATTCTGACCTCAACTTCTTTGTGACACAACTATCTGAACTTGGCCTTAAGTCTGATTCTTAAAGGTTAACTCCCCTGGACTTCCATATATATACTTGATTAGTTTTAAATGAAATAGATTAAATAAATTAAGAAAGATAATTAGTGAATATTTAAAACTGTATTTGAGGTCATGGTGAAACATCTATAATCATATCCAAATATTTCTAAAATGAAGCAAACTACATGAAGTATTTTTTTAAATTACTTAATCTGAATACAAAAGATCAGGGAGTACAGAAATGGCAGAAATCTTGGCCCCATCAATGTCATCCTGAGGGCCACTCACTATTTGATTGACTAATAGGTCATTCACAGCCCAAATTTGCAATCTGATTTTACTAGAAAATGAAGTAGTATTTTTATTAGATCTTGTGAAGGCAGAGCAATATGCCAGGGGAAAAACTGATAATGCACCATCCAATATATTATCAAGAAGTCAATGATGCTGGGCCTTTTCAAAATGTTCACCTGACAGAATAATTGGCTATGAGTCCAGTACATTAATTACTGAACTCTCAGAGAAAGCCTTAGGGAGTAGAATAGTCACAGGCCCAAGAGAAACAACTCAGACACACTCACACATTCACACTCAAATGGGACAAGAAATGGAAAGAGACCCAAACAAGAAAGCACGGCAAAATGAAGAAAAATCCTGGCACTGAAGTGGCCAAAGGTATTTCAGAATGGTGGAACCCAAGGTACTTCTATGCAAAAATCAAACAGCACTCTTTAGATCTCCTCTGTCTTCTTCCAGGAATTTTTGAATAAAAAACCAGCTGCATGACAAAGTTCATTATACCTGCTGATGTAAAATACTGCACAGCCTCCTGTGCAGGACCATGGAAAACTAGTTTTCCTGAGGCCAATAAGGTGAGGCTATCAAACAGCTTGAAGATGGAATACTGAGGCCGATGAATGGAAAAGATGATTGTTCGTCCTTGTTTAGATATTCTAAGTTAAAAGAGGGAAAAGAACAAGTCATTAAACATCTGAACCTTGCACTTTCTGATAAAATATCCTATTCTTACCATTAGCCCATTTATTCCCAATTTAACTTAATTTTCTCTTACAAATTTCTTATCTTACCTTATATTATCTATTTGATAGTTGAGGAATCTAAATTCAATGCTTTTATTAAAAAGACTAGGGCTCCTTAAAAGGTGATGCATTAAGAGTCTAGAAAGTACTAGAAGGTTTATTGAAAATGCAGATCCCTGGATGATCTTCTCAGACATTGACTTAGAATCTCTGGGGGTATGTGCAACACCTCAAGAAAACTGTAAGTACATTCAAGGTTGAGAACTAATTATGGACTAGACATTAAAACAATGGCTGTATGCTCAATTTGCATTGATCATTTAAGTCTTCTTGCTTTAGGATTGGTTTTATTCTTGTGCCATGATAATGTAATTAATATTATTAAGCACTAAGTCTTTATTAAATGTTTTAGAGAAAACTTCATTTTAATTTTTACAATTTTGTTATAAAGCACTCTCTGTATTATTTCCTTCCTTATTATATAAGTCTTAAAGGGTAAGCAACTAGCCAAAGATACACGGTTACCAAGATGCAAGGCTATGATTTGATCCCTGGTCTATGTCCATGTCAGAAACAATGCTAAACTACCTTCTCACAGGAGTGATTATTAGTGGGTAGAAGAAACAAAGGTCAAAATTCCTATTTAAAACTGTTATCAAAGATATTTTATGAGAATTACTTCAAGCATTCAATAAACACTACGTTTTTACTGTGTGTGTGTGTGTGTGTGTGTGTGTGTGTGTGTGTGTGTGTGTGTATTAAGGTATTCTGCCTTAGGGATGAGGCAGAAAAATCAAGAATTTCAATACATTGTAGAACAAAAGTAGCTAAGAGTTCCTCATAAGCTAACAGGAGACTTGAAACCCAACCTGAAATTGATATAAGAATATCAAAAGGCCCAAAAGGAATGGATTAGAGCTCTCTGCATAAGGAGGGATGCTGGTGTGTCACACAGCACAAAATATATATTAAAAAAGTTACAGTAATTCTGTGACAATGCCTCAACTGTCTTCTTCCTAGGGTCCTCATACTCACCACTGCCAACTGTACAGCCTCTCCATAGTGGCCAGCACTCTGCTCTAGAACTCTGAAAACATCTCCCACATCCTCTAGGGACAGTAAAAGCCACACTTCTCACAGTGCCCTAACAGCTCTATGTAATCTTTCACCAACCCAACCCCACCTCCCATCCTATTCTACCTGTGATGGACTGAACTGTGTCCTTCCCAGATTGCATGTGCTGAAGTCCTAATGCCTAGTATCTCAGAATGTGGATATATTTGGAGGTAGAGTCTTCAAAGAGCTACTTAAGGTTAAACAAAGTCATCAAGAGGGTCCTAATCCAACTAGTGTTCATTTAGGAGGAGATTAGGACACACACACACAGAGAAGACTACCACAGACAGAGGACTCCAAATAAACAAGCCTGTGAACATCTTGATCTCAGACTTCCAACCTCCAGAGATGTAAGAAAATTAAATTCTATTGTTCAACTTCCTAGCCTGTGGTATTTTGCCGTGACAGTATCTCAGCCAACCTCCAGTCCCCAGTCTATCTCTCTGGCCTCTTTGATGACCCACACACAGCAGGCCTGCTCAACCCCTGTGCTGCTGGTTGTTCCTTCCAACTAGAGCTCTCTCCTGCCACATTCAGCTTGGTCTCTCTCACTCCCTCCCAGATCATGTTTTATAGGCTTGAGGTTTTTCCTGACCCTCCTGCTATTTACAACAGCCACTGTCCCCACCATGGCCATCCTTCCCTATGCTACTCTTTTAACTTTCTTGACAGCATACCTTTGTTACTTGACTGTTTCTAAGAGGAAGAAATTTTTCACTTCTGAGTCCTCTGCATTAAGAACACTGAGTACATAGACATGATCAGTGATTTGTATTAAATAAATGAAAGAGCCATGTTCCCATAGCAGTTACCTTTTCAGAAGCAAAAGAAGAGTGAGTGCTGTGCTTGAATCTAATCCAGTCGTGGGCTCATCCAGGAACAAGATAGGAGGGTCAGTGATCAGCTCCATTCCGATACTGGTCCTTTTTCTCTTTCTTTTGGACACAACCTAAAACACAAATTATTATCAGCAACTATAAAAATGACCAAGGACCCTGTCATTTGGTGAACTAACCTGTGCCAACTATGTAGTACACGATTTATTTCTTTATCCTTATTATTCTGGACAGCAAGTAAATGGACACCTAAGAGAAGAAGGAGGTTTCTCTTTTACCAGAGTAAACTGAGACTCAATTCAGGGTTGTTAAATAATGAGACCTGATATAAAGTCCATACTTTTCACAATTATAGATATCCCTTATCAAGACAAGCATTTCATTTTAAGATATGAAATTAGAACCCTGAAAATGTATGGCTCTGACATAATGCAATCACAGTCTAAAACAGAAGATAAAGACAGGAGAAAAAGAGGAAAGAACTTATAGAAAATTATTAGTCTTCTAACAGTATAACTCTCCACTATCCTGGTCAAAAGTCTCCATATACAATTATAAGAAGGGAATGAACTTGGAGCCAGGAAAGTTCACTTTCTTCCAGATTATATTAGTATTTTTTCAATTTCTATAAGGCTTTCCAAATTGATTCTGTCTACACTCTATCTCATTGCAAAATTCCTGATTCATCCTTTCAGACAAATCCAGAAAATGGGATATTCCACCGGGCACCTGGCTCAATTTTTCCCAGTGCCACTGTGTGTGGTAAGGGGAGGAGAAAGATTTGGGAGAGTCAAATCATTCTGTAATTGGGAGTCTCCAAAGAGATAATAATCAAATGATACCCATGGCCCTTGATTAGGTGCTATTAACAATTGAACTATAAAAGACATTTGGGGACAATTCAGGAAATGTGAATGAATATGGGGTTGACATAGCTGGTGACATAAAGATATTGTTCATTTTGCTAGTTGGTAGTAGTATTGTTCAAGTAATTTCCTTATTTTTTTATAGATGTGTTGTAAATATTCAGGAATAAAATGTTAACTTCCTATAAAATACTTCAGTAAGAAATAATTGTAATAATCAGAGAAGATTTTGATAACTGAGCAATCTAGGTAAACTAGTATTAGTGATTACACTATTATATTAACTATCCAAATAACTGTATCATTATAGTAATCAGACTATATTCTTTACATTTCTCTTTTGTTTAAAATATCATTAAAAATAAAAAATTAAAATTATTTTAATCCATTAGACTACATGAACTCTAAGATCTCAACAGCAGTCTTTGTTTTCCATAGAAATCCAAGCAACCGATTTAGGACAATGACAACTTAAATGTGAAGAAGAGAGTAAAGGAAAATATCTCACTGGGGAGACAAAATCAGGTAAATAAACAGAATCAAAGCAAAAAATCACAAGCATTCATAAGACAAAAGTAAGTGATAAATGGAGACATCTCCAAGTTTTCTTTCCAAACAAAATACACTTTACATAAAAGGCTGTCAACAAGTATCACAGGAGGAGCAGCTAGTAGAACTCCCATTCTTTATTGCTCTAAGGACAGTTAAACTACAGCGATTTCAACCTAACTAGTACATTTGCCTCCAAAAGTCCAAAGGTCAAAACTTTCACACTGCCTGATCAAGTCTAAATTTCATTGATTTCTCTCATTTTTTTCTCCCTGATCCTCACAACTCACAACAGAAAGAGTTACTTTGTCTGCTCTTTGTTACCCCTGCCCATAACTATATATCAAAATTCTAAAAACAATATGACAAATAAGAGTCTGAAAATAAATACTGTCAGAAATAAGGTAATAGGGGATAGGTAGGAGGGGAGATGTAATACAAATGTATCAAAAGAAAATCTATGGAAAAAACCCTTTAGTATAAATTACAGGTAAATCCTAAGGTAACTGAATATAATTTTGGAAGCCACATTATAGGAAAGTGAAATATACAGAGCAAGAATTCTTGGCTTATCAGTAAAATTCAGAAATATGCCTCATGAAAGCAATGGAATAAAGTAACCTGGAGGAAGAGAAGGGAGCTCAAGGGGGGGAAGAGAAAAACAGGAGAAAGAAAAGTTAGTACAAAGGTATTAAATGAGCCCAGAGCTCAACTGTGAGCATGGAGGTGGGTCATATGGAATAGGTCATATGAAGATACTTTTCCATCCCAGACCTCACTCCATTCCCAGGATTGATCCATCACTGAGATTGTTTTTCCAGGTTAATTTCTACTTTCATATTAGGTAACTAGTCACTTTTCTCCTCATTACAGAAAGCAACCACATTATAGGAAATTTCTGATTAAAGTCATATTGTCCATATAGGAGAGATCTTATTTTCTAGCTACGATTCCCTCAGTTTTATTCACATTACCTTGGAATCTGCCTCTTCATCCAGACCTAACTCTTCAATGACCTTGTTAACCTGCTCATTTTTCTCATGATTCGTCATGGTTGCTGGAAGCCGAAGAGCTGCTGAAAAATGTAAGTTTTCTCTCACGGTCAGCGTGATCGTCACAACATCATCCTTCAGACAAAATGGTGTTTTAATGAGAGATCCTGAGTCTTTTCTGTGACCATCACTCTAGTATATAAAATTTAATCCTCAAAAATAACATATATACAAAAGGTAATTTCTAGCTAATGGTGATCTTTCAGTTCTACCAACTGTAGTAACTACCTATGCAGACAGCTCTGGAGTCTGATGAAATCATTTCCAGCCCCCACTGCACACCCAAGGACAGCACAGGTTATATGATGACTAATAGCAGACTGATGTGTACAAGGATTTTCCAAGGATACCCCTCTTAGCTAAGGGAATGAGAAAAGTGAATGAAGGGAAGAAAAGGACATCAGTAGTTGCTTTTAGAAATGATATAATAGCTGGAATTCATGCCACTGTCCTATGAGGTTCATATTCCAGATCCTCTCTGCCTTTTTCCTTAATACTACCTTCAAATAGTGGGAGATTATGAAAAGCTAGTATAAAGAAAGTTGGGTGTATAAGAACATCATACAATTCATTGGGAGCACACTAACCATAACCCAAGACATTTTCCCATGTAGAAACAGAGGACATCTAAAAGACAACCCTATGTGTACGTACTTGTACCACATAACCTGATTTATGTTTGAAATCTGCAGGTGGCGGTGCTCCATTTATCAAAACATCTCCAGATATTCCATGTCGATCTTTCCTTCCAGCTAACACATTTAACAACCTATAAAAGCACATATATTTTGTAGGTTTTTTTCCCTTCCATAAGGCTGTATCTCTTAGCTACTCTGAAACCAAATTCTGTTCAAATTATGAACTAGTTGAATCCAAATTCTATTCAAGTTATAAATGTGTAAAAAAATTCTATAGTTCAACTAGATTGAAATATATAGATTGAAATATATATATATTCCCTTCCAGGGAATATTAGAGAAGGGAGAAAGGGATTTGGGAAGTAAGAAAGGGTGGTAAGATCAAAGTGAGTTATTTGCATGTATAAAAATGTCACAATAAAGCTCATATTTTTCAGTTAACATGTGCTAATAATTGGAATTTTGATGAAGAAATAAGATTATATCACTTAGTAATAATGTAGTTATCTTTGTGTAAATACATTCTATGATCTTTGCACAATGAAAAAATTGCCTAAGGACACATTTTTCAGAACATGTCCCCCTTGTTTAGCAATGCAAGATAGTGCTTTATTAAAAATATTATTGAATAATTTTGAAATTCTCACTTTTCTTTTCATTATGTGCTACAAGAATTCTCAAAAATATAAACTAAAGGCAACATTGGCTCATCCAGCACAGACCTCTAAAATGACCCTCCTAGCTATCTACTCTGGTGGCTCTAACTCTGGCAATGTTCCCCTTTATCTCACTCATATCTTCAACTATACCTTCTGTTCCATTTCCCTACTTTAATTTTACCTCCTTTTTCTTCCTCATTAGCTCATAATATGGCCAGTGGCTGCATATCAATCATATTATCATGCTCTAGTAGTATAGCTGATAAAGGTAGTTTTTAAACACACACTTAAATTGTGCAAAGAAGACTTCCTTATACTTTCTGTTATACTCACACAGATTTGCCTCCGCCTGTGGGCCCCATAATGGCATTGAGGCCAGGTCTCATAATCCCACTGTAAATACAAAAAGATACTGATTTATTGTTCCATTTTAAACACAGTTTATAAATGTAGGGTCTGCATGGAATATACCCAATGAATGCTGATGAAATTGCAGACAGAAAATAAATACTGACACTTAAAGTAAAAAAAAAATGTTGATTAAATAATTCTATATATGAAAGATGTTTATCCCTAGCCAGGACTTACATGGCAAGAAGATGGCACAGATCCCTGTGAATTCTGTTCATTTATTCTCTAAATCACTTAGCCTCTTGGAAAATGGCATATCCAAGGTTCTTGATAGTATGGCTAAGAGTATAGCTCAGTGTTAGAGCCAGTGTGTAGAATGCAAGAGGCCCTGGGTTCCATCCCAGTAGCAACAACAACAAACTGTTTCTTTAAATAAGCAACAGACTTGCCTTTACACTTACTTCTCATCTAGCATAATGTAAACTACATAACAGCTTTTGAGTACTGTTTGATGATCAATATCTTCATATCATCCACTGGGTATCTACTCAAGTTCTACAAGATTAATTAGCCACTAATTCTTAGAATATCAGTGGTAGTGGTCTCATTATTAAATTCTAGTCAGAACAAAAAAAAATCTTAATTAGATATCTAAAGGCTAGAATAAAACACACTAGAGAATTAGAAAACATCAATACATTTTAACACTCAAGAAAAATGTCTTAACAGTTAGAAAAGGAAACACATATCCTCCAGCTAAATCTTTTCCTTCCGTGTTAAGTAGCTGTTAAGTGAGCTAGAAAATGCTTACTTTCAAATTGGGAGTTCTCACTCCAGTAAGGAATATCCTTTAAGGATATGCAGGCGTAGAACAGACACATGTTTCAAATAAGCTAAATGGATATATGAGGGGAGGGAGCATTTAGATAGAGTAGGAAAGAGAAAAAATACAGTAGAGTCATTGTAGCTAGACAGCCATGGTGAAATGGAGACCTGACTTAGCCTGGTAAAAACTCTGCTGTCTATCCTCAGTCTCTTTTTAGAATTGGTAAGTAGGTAAAGATCTAGAGAAAATAGCATCTATTCCAAGTGTATGTCAAAGCTGACAGCTATTTTAATCTCAGATAATGATTTCTGCAGAGGTCAATCCTATGATTACACAATTATCATGACTGATAAACTTCTCAATATAACAGCACCATAGTGAGGAAATCCTAGAGAATTCAGCATTTATTACCTATTTTCCCTGAACTGTCACAATTATACAACGTCTGGTGGGATGAGGGCAAAATCTACCTTTTGCTTAGTTAATTAACAGAAGTATCTCTCACTGAAACATTGGACAAAGAGAGTGAGAGGTCAGTAAACCTAGAGCAAGCTGTAACAAAAAAATCTCTTCTTTTTTTGGTGACCTCTCCCCACAATGCAAAAACATACTAATGATTGGATAAGCTTTCAGGGTACATTAATCTGTAGCTCTACACTATTTGTCTGCAGTTATTCTCCCTCATTCTACTGTAAAATATTCCCAAGAATGTTACCACTTTCCTATCCTTTCCTCCCCTATAATATGCAGCATGTTGAATAGTGAACACATGAAACAAAAGTCACCCTGAAGATTCCAGCTAGAGTTTAACGAATAATAATCAATCCTTTGGTTTGGTTTGATTTATGAACATGAGATTGTCAGTGTCATTAATGGAGCATGACCTTCCTCCCTACACACACACACACACACACACACACACACACTTACAGTACCTTCACTTTCTTAAACTCCATGTTCCTTGCTCTCCAATTTAGGATTGTGGGCTCACATTGTTCCTTTTAATCCTTCTATCACACTAGAATAATATAGTGATGGTGCTGTGGTTTTCTGAAACCCCTATCAGACTACAAGGTTTCTGAAAACAGATAACACATCTGGATCATAGCTATTTTGCATAACACCAGGGACCTAATAATCATTCAAAATGTGTTTAGTAGGCCAGGCCTGGTGGCTCATGCTGGTAAGCTCAGCACTCTGGGAGGTCGAGGCAGAGGGATCACAAGTTCCAGCCCAGCTTAAGCGACGTAGCAAGAATTTGTCTCAAAATTAAAAATTTAAAAAATGGCTGGGGGTGTAGCTCAGTGTAAAAACTTGGTTCAGTCCCCAGTACCACAAAAGATATTCGTAGTGAATAAATAAATGCCTGTAAATCACACCATGAGATCTCTTTCCAGCAAAATACAGGGATAATTCAATTCACACGCTCCAACCATTTTTAAATCAGTTTGTAAGTTCCTTTCAAAGTTAAACCTATACTTAACAAGTGGTTACTCGGTCCTTGTTTAGCCAAAAGAAATAAAATTATGTGCTTAAATATCTCTACAAAGATTTGTATACAAATATTCATAGCAGCTTATTGTTAATAGGCTAAAGCTGTGAAATTTATAGTGGGTCAATTAAAAGGTCTTTTTAAAAGTTTAGGCACATACCTGACATTTGACAGTATTTCTTTCTCAACTGTTTTCTGCAAAGGTAGAAAGCCACTCTTCACTTTTACTCGATAGCAAATGTTATGGAAACTTAACACAGGCTCTTCAGTACATGTCTCCAGGTCACTGGAGATCCTGGGGAGACCAGTGTTTCTTACTGACATTGGGATGGAAACCTGGATATCACTGGAAGACATCCGGAAACTTTCTGATTTTCTGCAAAATGAAAAGCAATAGTAAGTCAATAGTTCAGACAAATAAGATTGTAAACCCTAGATAACAACACATTTAAACTAAGTTTTTAAAATCATGCTGCTGTGGTAGATTTCCTTACCTGGAAAATCATCACGGTGATAAAGAACCAAGAACCAATAGCGGGAGACAGACACATTGAATGCCTGCTCTCCAATTAAATGTCACATCAATTCCCAGTAAGTACAGAGTTAAGAGCATGAAAATCACTCAAAACTCATAAAGTAGGAAAAACACAGATGAAGGTTAGACACGTGTGGCTTGAAATGCACATTAGAATACAAATTTAGTAAAGTGAAAGACTACATGCTCATTATCATACTCCTGTATTTTTTGTTTTAAATTTTGAGTTTATAACATTATTTAACTAAAGGAGCTTAGTCAAGCAGTCAGGGCAGCAGAAATTTCTCTGATTTTATACCTCCAGACAGACTTTACATCTCTGATTGTTATGTGCCTTCAGTGAGATGAGAAAGTAAACTCCACAATTATTTGCAAGGACATAATCATTTCCTTAATGGAAAAAAAAAATTTAAATTCTAGGAAGATTTAAAATTGATTATGAAAATTATTAAGTAATTCTAACCAGTAGTCAAGTAGTTTAAGGCTTTAAAGCAAGAAATGAGTATTACTTGGTGTAATAGGCCTGTAATTCCAGCACTCAGGAGGCTGAGGCCAGAGTATCACTGTGACTTCGAGGCCAGCCTGGGCTACACAATGAGACCCTGACTCAAAAAAACCCTGGATATTAAGTTTATAAATGAATTTTAAAATATTTTAGTAAGAAAGTTACAAAAAAAGGCCCCTTTAAATGATTTTAATTAGAATAAGACCTTAAGGCAAACAGCATGTGAGACTAGGTTTGAAATGTGAACAGCAATAAACCTGTTTTTCATTTTTAAAAACCAAAATCATCCATGAAGAACTGCCTATGGTGGGCTAGCTGCTTAAACAAATCATCTTCCTATGAACAACCATAAAAGTAGACAAAACATAAGAATTAACAGTGCAGAGGTTTCATATGAGTGGAGGAGAGGAGGAGCATCACAGAAATCTTCCTTTAGAAATTAGAACACCATGTTTGTTAGTTAGCTTTCTGTTGCTGTGACAAAGTATCTGAGAGAGTCAACTTAAAGGGAGAAAAATGTACTTTGGTACATGGTTTCAGAAGTTTCGGTCCACGGTCAATTATATACTGCTTTGAGGCCTGTGGCTAGGCAGAAATATCATGACGGAAAGATGTGCTTATGGAAAGCTGCTCACATCATGTCAACCAGGAAAGAGGGAGGGAGAGAGGGAGTGAAGAGAGAAGAGGAGAAGACAGAACATGAGAAGAGAGAAGGATAAAAGAGAGGAGAGAGGACAGGAAAGAGGGGAAGGGGGAGGAGGGACAGAGAAGAGAGAGAGGAGAAAGGAGGACAAAGAAGCTACCTTTCAAAAGCACTTCCCAAGTGTCCTACTTTCTCTCATAAGACCCCACCTCCTAAAGTCACCATCTCCCAATTCTGCTACCAACTAGGGACCAACCCTTTGGACTAAATCACTGAGGAATATTCCAGATCCAAACTACAAAATTCCTCCACTAGCTCCCAAAAGCTCATATGCATCTCACAAAGCAAAATACATTTAGTCTGTCTACAACAGTTCCTATAGTCTTAACAGTTCCCACATTGCTCAAAAGTCCAAGCCAAAGTCTCCTCTGAGACTCAAAGCAAACTCTTAGCCATGAGCCACTGTAAAACTCAAAAAACAAGTTACATATTTCTAACATATAATAGTAGAACAGACACAAGGTAATCCAATCCAAGAGAAAAGAACAGTAGAATACCAAGGAGGGTTCAAACTAAATAAAGACCAAAATAGAGCAGAACAAACATTAAGTTCTGTAGCCCTATATCTGGCATCTGGGACATAATTTAACATGGTGTAAACTATAAAGAGACTGGAGAGATGATCTTAGTGACTACAGACAACATAACCCTTGGGTTAGCTCTGCTCATTGCATATAGCTTTCTAGGAAGATGTTCCATGTTCCTGGTATTACTAATTTCCTAGATCCTCCACTGCAGCTTTCACTTTACCCTCATAGCTTTATGCATTATCCTCTCAGGATCTCACCGCAGGGATTTCCATCACACCTCATACAACCTAGGGGCCTTATGAAGAAGGGTACCCCAGGACCCTCTTCACAAGGAAATGTCTTTCAAGTGAGTTTACACTTGTGATGTGTAGGGCATGGCTAATTCCTAAAATCCCTTCAAGCGGTCTTTCTTACTTTCCCAGTGCAACTATTTGTTTTGTTTTTTCTGGTGCTAATCTCTTTAACAAGAACACCTTTCCAACTTTACCAAACTACCAGTTTTTCAAATCTTTCTGCTCTACTTTATCCTCACAGTTCTTTTTAAAGCAGCCAGACATATACAAACTATAGCCTAAATGCTGTGCTGACTGGAAATCCTCTCCATCAGATTAGTCTGTCCCCTTTAAACTGAGAATCACACAAAGTATCAGAGCATTGATAAAAAGTAGACAAGCTATTTACCAAAATGTAACAAAGTGGCACCTCCTTCACAAACTAGAAAAGATGGCCACACTCCTGTTTGCCCTGGGAAAGATGGCTGCAGTTGTGTTCATCACTTGATGCAGAGTTCACAAACAAAAACAAAATTTTGCCAAATGCTTCTGTTTGTGAACCAAATTGTTTGCAAACAAAATTATTTATGAACCAAGGTACCACTGTATCTCCAAACCTTTCACAAATGCTCCTGCAAACTAGTTCCAAAGGCTTCTGAATCACATTGTCAGTCATAGTCACAACAATGACTCCACTTTTAGATATCAGTTTTCTGTAGCAGCTTTCCATCACTGTGACAAAATGTCTGAGAAAATCAATTTAATGAAGAAAAGATTTATTTTGGCTTACAGTTTGAGAAGTTTCAATCCATAGTCATCTGGCTCCATTGCTTTCAAGCCTATGACAAGGCAGAAACACTTTGGTGGAATAGAATAGTAGAGGAGAGCTGCTCACCCCATGACAGGCAGGACATAACTGAAGAGTGAAAGAATAGAAGCAAGAGAAGAAGAGGGCAGAAGAGGAAAAGAGGGGAGAGTAAAGAAGAGAAGAGGAGAGGAGAAGAGGGAAGGGAGGGGAGGGAAGAAGGGAGGGGGAGGAGAGAAGGAAAAGATGAGGAACAAAATAAACCCTTCAAATGTACAATTCAATGACCCACTTCCTTCAACCAGACCCCACGTTCATTATCTCCACCACCTTCCAGTAGTGCCACCAGCTGGAGACCAAGCCTTCATGAATGAACCGTTGCAGAACATTCATCCAGACTATAATATCATGTAAAAATGATAGGTAATTAAAAATTAGGGAAAAGATTTGAGAAGTGACCAGAAAATAATAATTCTGTTAAAGAATGAAGTTATCTTCCCCACTATCAATTTTATATTCCATTTCCACGGAAGGCAGAGTGCTTGAAGTTTAGTGAGGGCCAGGGTTGGGGTTTTTTTTAATGGAAGGTGAAATTTTTTATTGGTATATGTTTATAATAAGTAATAACTGCATTCATTTTGGGAATAAAAGCCCTAGAAATCAAAATATTGGATGATATGGGTCTACACTGGTTTTCTGTTAAGGTGGATTTCTCATTGCTAGATTACTTATAAATAAAGCAATTTTATGATGCCATAAAAGATATGCAGGTGTTATGTCATAACAAATTTGTTCCTGAGTTTCCAAGTAGAAAACAAAAAAACTATAGGGGTTTGATATTTTTTTCAAAAATAGAGTTCTTTAAAAAAAAGAGTAAGAAAATGAGACAGATCACTCCTCAAGATTATGGAGCCAGTCAATATACTAAGAAACAGATGATTGAGAAAAACAATCATTGATCTAATTATTAATCAAACACAGTAAGATATATGAATAGCTTTCTTTCCTGTTACATAAATGCTAGGAATTTCCCAAATTACAGAAGCAAATACATTCACAAAGTGGTCACTAAAACAACTTTTACCTTACTAATAGAAAAAAAATCACACAGGAGGGTGGAGTCTTAAGATTATAATCACATATGCCTTGCCTGAATACCCACATTGAAGGAGAATGCGAGCATCACTTAAAACTCCATCTCTATGTGCAAACACATCAAGAACACTGTCTCCCTTCCTACTTTACAAATGCTATAAAAGCTGTGCACTTCTCTCTTTTGGGGAGTCAGCCTAGGAATTATGTTCCCATCTGATGCCTTCCTTTTTTTTTTTCTTATTGTGCATGTGCAAGCATGAGTGTTACTGGCGACTGAACCCAGGGCCTTTGCACTGAACTATATCTTTAGCCCTTTTTAAATTTCAGATACAGTCTTGCTAAGTCATAAAGTTGAAGAACAAAAATATTCTTCCTAAAAGCTTCTGTTCCTTCCTGATTCTTTTGAGGAGCACAAAAAACCTGTAGCATCTGGAACAAAACTGTGATATGCTTTAGGTTGACAATAAGAAATGTATAAAATAAGAAATTATGAAAATAGGCTGAAAGAAAAGACGTATTCTCTTAGAACTGTCTTCCATTGGTTAAATGCAATCATGTTCTTTAAATTAAATGAGGTGACTCTGAAAGAATTGATCTCTACATAGAGACATGCTCTGAAGTGGGCACTACCACAAAACTATAGACCCCCAGAAGAGAGCTACAGGCTTGAAATAACAGAGAAATTGCTCTCTTTGTTGTTTGTTTGTTTGTTTGATTTTTCTCATATATTCTTATCTTTTTCATGAGTGTGAACATTGTTTTTAGTGTTTTGGTATTGTTTAGTTCTTGTTTTTGTTTCTTCTTTGTTTCCCTCATATCTTCTTGACCAGTCTCCAAAAGCTTAGGCAATCTTCCTTTGTTTATCAACCTAGCTTCTAATCATTTTCTCTTCTTTTATTTCCCTATTCTTTTCCTTCTTTATCTTCTAAAT